ATATATATTTTTATTATAAACAATTAATATATAATTATATTATAATTAAAAACTATTTTACAATTAAAATAATAAATTTGTTTTTCATACTTTTTATTTAGAATTAGTTTAATAACTAGTGTCCTATAGGGGTAACTCTATAATTTAATATTTTTTATATGTTATAATTTTTAATATGCACATAAAAGTATATGAGTATTTGCATGTTTGTGTGAAAATATTAAATTTTAAATTTTTTTATATAATTAAGAGGTAGAATTCCTGGTTCATATTTGAATTTATATTTTTTACATTAATATAAATGTATTTAAATATTTATAAAATAGTTAAGAATATTCACATATTTTCAAATTTGTATAGATACAAATATATAAATAATTTATATTATTTTAATTTATTTAAATATATATATATATATAAATATATTTATATATAAAAATAATGAGACATTGACTCATAATAACTCATGTTTATTCTGAGTTTCCATTTGGCGCAGCAGAAGAGCACAGAAGTTAGAGAGATTATACTGTACAAGGTTATTTGAAGAAACTGAAGTGCGCGGAAACAAAGAAAATTGCAGGTAAGTTATAAACATTTTTTTTCTTCAGATAGATTAAGAAAGTTTTTAAACTCACATATACATACTTACCTCTCCCATTTCACACTTTACAAACAGATAATCAATTTTAGCATTTATATTAATGGATTATCACTCTCTTCTTGTCCAAAAATAAAAATAATATTATTATTATTGTTAAAATAATAATTATTATAATATAAAATTATTATTATTTTAGTAATATATATAAATTTTAAATTTATTTATTTTAAATATAAAAATAAAAATAATAAATATAACTATTATTATAATTATAGATAAACATAATAATAATAAAAAATTTAAAATTTTTAACTTAATTTAAATTAATTAAAAAAAATATCTTGTCTTCTACTTTCCTTCTTTTCACTTTATTTGTTCCTCTTTACTAAACATAGCATAAATGAGTGAGTAGATATGTATAATATTTATAATTTATTTTTATTATTATTTTTTACAAAATATACATAGATAGAAATGAATACATATATTAAAAATAATATATACAAATAATTATAAATTTTATATTTAATATATGTTATGAAAATGTTTGAGTCATGATTTTTTATTGTAATTAAATATATAATAATTGAAAAAAATATCTTTATTTATTATATGGATAGGTTGATAATTAAATAGCATAATTATACAAAATAAAATAATGATCATATTATATAACATTAGTATTTGTATAAGATTACCAACAAGTTATTGATACTAGACTGAATTTGCTTAAACAAGATTTTAAGTTCAAATTTTATGTGTAAGAAAAATATGATTAAGAAGGAAGAGTCTACTAAAGGTGGTCAATTGAATTCTTCAACAAAGATTAGTCACTAAGAAAATTAGTAAATAGTAAAAATATAAAATTTGATGATTTAGTTGACAAATTTATTAAAATAAACTTGTTATAAATACCTTAATACTATAATTATGTATTTTACAAATTAAAAATAAATTAATTTACTTTAATATTAATTTATTTATATTAATGAGTTAATTTAAATTTGATTATAATTAATAAACATCTATAAATGGTATTGTGAACAATTATTTGTTATTTTTTACACCATTGAATTTTGATTTTTGTCTTATAATTATAATAATTATTTATTATACATACTTAAAAAGTTAAACTTAATGAAACTTTTAATTATATTATTGTAAAATTTTGACATAGATATAATATTTAGTGAAATATAAATTATTAAAGTAATTTTATTAATTATAGAAAATAATAAAATAAAAATGAATAATATATTAAAATGGCAAAAATGATATTTATAAAAATATGAAGTACTTTACGTCTAAGATAGGTATTGAATTTCTTGTATATTCATGATATTGGTATGAAGTATTTATCGTTGAAAGTAGGAATGAGAATAGGTCGAATCTTAAATAGGGACCTATTATCTGACTTATTCAAAGTCTAGTGTGGTATAAACTATTTAATTAAAATGTCAGGTTTAGACTTTTAAAAAATCAATTATTTAAAAGGTTAAATTTAAAGTTATAAAAAAGTCTATTAAACTTGATAGATCAACTTATTTATCTATATAATATAATAAAAATAATATACATATTACATTATTAACAGTAAAATTAAATAAATAATTTTTTAATATAAAAATTAAATTTTAATATTTTTTACATTTTTACTAACTTATTCAACTATTTTATATTTTGTGTTCATGTGAAGTTAAAAAAGATCTAGTTGTCACATCTTGGTCTTCTCTTTTCCTTTATTTTCATGGTTGTTTATTTAAAATATTTCAAATGAAATAAAAGAAATATTTAGATATTTTTTTATAAGATTATGTTTTCTCATTACACATATTCATGAGTGTGCGTGTGAATGTATTTGCGTGTGCATGACTTATTCCTCTCACAATAATTTTTTTTTATTTTAAATTCTAAATTTGAATAATAACAATAATAGAATAAACTATTTTTTATCATAAAAATTAGAAAAAAGGACTCGCATGTATTTAAAAATAAATTTATTGATTTATTTATTATTAAATTTATTGGTTTAATTAACACTATTAATGTAAAATAGACTTTTAAACAAACTAATAAGTTAAACCAAACTTTTAAAAATATTAGGTATCTGATAAGCCACACTTAGAATAGTACAATTACTATGCAATGAAAAATATAAAGTATTCAACTATTCTAGAGTTCTCATGTAATAATATTTGAACATTCGTGCAACAAATATATATATATATATATATATATATATATATAATATATATATATATACAAACAGTTTTTGTTAATATGATTTGAAAATATAAAGTCTCTTGTGGGGTTACATGTAAACCTTTTACATGTATACAATATACATCAAAGGTACTAAATACTAATAGCATAAAACTCTATCGTCAATCAAGCATTTCTATACAAGATATTACATCAAAACTGTACAATAAAACATAGTCATCTGCATGACCAATCTCCCAGCAAACCTGCCACCTAATCTCGACCTACTCTTATATCAAAGTATGATCATTGCAATCCAATTACATGGAAAATAAGGTTAGGTTGTGAAATAAAATAACATAATAACAAATTAAATAAGTAACAACTTCAACAAGTATAACCAACTTAAAACAACATGTTAGCTTCAACCTTAAAACATAACCAACCTTTTAACATCGATCACAACTTACAGAATGCATATCATTCTCAACATAAGCAACGTCAATCACAACTAAACAACTTAAACAACTAATGCATCATTATACATATCAACTTATGGAGATCTTCTACAAGGTGAATAGTCTTACCTAAAAACATCATCATATAATATCATAGATCAATATATAATGAACTAGAATCAATCATCATCATACATCACATAAACAATTAGCTTAGTGAGATAAGTTAAGAAAATTACAAGCTTAAATGGGGAACTAGTGCTTCAAGCACCCCAAATTAAGCTAGCTCTAAGTTAGCAAAATTTGCTCTAAGCACCCTAAAGCTAGCTTAGAATGAGCACAGATATAAAACACCTCTAGGATAGCTGCTCAACTCGCTTAAGCAAGTCATGTCTTGCCATAAGCCATCAAAATTCACTCTAAGTGGTCAAAATTCGCTATGTATGAGCTAGGTCAGAGAGCACCTCTAAAACGAACGCACCAACTCCTTCTAAGTGAGTGA